ATGATGAGAGACAATTTCAGCATTGTCAATTATGAACTATTGCTGTGTTCTTATTTGGTATAACTCGTGATGCCATTCTGCTTATGGTTCGAGGTCATGGCTATTTGGTCACTCATGTATGATGCTGTTTGAGTTCTGGAATTCGCTATTGCTCATCTTCCTTGCAAAACTGCTAAAACACAGTTTGAAATGCAATTGCAAACTGCTTTCGTGACTGCACCGTAGTTACCTATAAAAAAAAAAGACTGGGAACAGTGCCATGTAACTCTGTACGTAGTTTGAAAGAAGGGTACTGTGGCCATTTCGTAGTGCCGAAAGTTCAGCCAGTTCTTTTTGCTCCATTTTTAATAACTTTTGTTAAAAAAAACACCAGTATGTTTCCCAGCTATTTTTCTCCGCCGTGTGGCGTCTGCAAGTTCCGGGGGTCGGCCTGTGGAGCAAAATGGCTGCCAGCGCCAGCCGAAAGAAGGCCTGTGACCAATTGCAAACTGTATCTTGCCCCATAGTGCAATTATAACTCGTTCTTGTGACTACCCCTTGTTCTTCTTTGGCACACAGTGCATTTTGAGGCTCAGCAAGGGAAGGGTCAAGACTCAAAAGTACTGGTGGTCTAAAGACTGCAAATGCTCCTGGCCCTGGGAAATTTCGGCACGTCCTTGGCTGATATGCCCCTCCTCGGTAAGAGTGTGGACCTGGTGGAGGGGTCATCTGCATCAATGAGGAATCGGGAATTCGAGCGGAACGACAACTGGATCCTCACCGGGTTACTGCCACAAGGCGTGGTGGGCAAAGCAGTGAGGGGATTCATAGCACAGCTGATCAGATGGTTCAATAATTTTCTCGAATATCTGTGGCGGACAGGAATAATACTTTATTTCTACAAACCAGGACTCCAGAACATCTGTGCAAGGAAAAGCTTCAAAATCTGATCCGGAGGCTCATCTGGGCCTATTAGACCAGGAAGGTCGTCCAAAGTGGCTACAAGCCCAGAGTCTGTACTAGTTCAGACAGACCAGGGCACTTCAAGATCAAATGGCTAGCATTAGTCCAAGTGACCGGTTACAGATCCGTTGTTTTTTCTTTTTTTTTATAAATAAACAGGTCCTTATGGTCCTGGCTCCATATCCGTTCTGGGGAGCATCAGTCCGGTTCCTTTCCCCCAGCAAGTCGAAAAATGGAATACATGGTGAACCCCCTCACGCTTCCTTCCGTCTGGCCGAAGGAACCCTGACCAGCATTGATTGCTCCTTGTAAGGAGGATTGACTGTCAGCTTGCCCTACCACTTTTCCTCTCAGAGTCTATTATGTCTCTGTCGGATATTACGTATTGTTTGTTTTCTGTTTTTTTGTTTTTTTTCCAACGGAGAAAAGCGCCATGAAAAATTGTTGTAAGCTGCTCACCATGCTCAGCCCACGGTATTCTTTAGTAAAAGGCGAAATATGAGCTGGGCACACAGCTGAATGATCTCTCCAGTCCCTTGTTGCAAAACTCAATATCCAGATAAATCTGTTTCCTCTATTCCTGAGTCAGTGAGTCCTATGTTCTATACTCTGCAGTGGGTAGTGATAGGTCTGCGACGCTGGAACCCAGTTTCCAGCAGAGTTGGTGGTATTAGTTACTCAGTTGGTCCGGTATTGACGGGGATGCTGGACCCAGTTTCTGGGACGCTGGACCCTGTTTCCAGCAAGAGCCAAAGCTGAGTAATGGCCTCAATATTTCCGGGTAGAATTGTGAGGTTCCCGACCCCAACCCATTTGGTTTTCTGATAAAATTCCCGCCTTCCCAAAAAAACAGCCCTTCTTTTCCGTCTATTTGTGACGGTTTTTTTTTTTTTTCCCTTTAAAATTTCTTCTTTCAAACCAAGGGTACTGCATTCATCCTCTACTTCTGAAAAATGACCCGACGGACGAGGGCCAACAAGCCTATTTGCAGAAGAAGTTTTTAAAATTCGAAGTCTCAAGCCCGCATGATGAAAAGCATCTATGGCAGGCCCATAGTCACACAAGTGATCAGCTGCAGTGTGTAAAGTAAATCTGCCTGCTACTGGGATCTTACCCCAGGTGCCAGGTCCCACTTACACCAATTCTTCGTTTCTGGCCATTCATTTCAGATTCGGAATCAGGGGTCCAAAACAAAGAGTCCTGGTAGGTGGGACCTGGCCACGGGCGGATTTGACTGTTCACAGACCAGTGCGACATGAGGTGCGCATGTTCCCTCGTTGGAGGCTTGAGCACAGATGTGGTTGCTACGGGTTTCCCCGCAATACTGTAATGACAATGGTGACTCTACAAAAGCAGTTCCAAAGGACTGTTTTCCTTTTGCTCCGCTTTTCCTATGTCATTGTTGAGCCAACAGCGCGGCGAACGAATTGAGTTTCGTAATTAGCAGGAATAGCACACCACCGCAGCTCTGGCACGCACCGAGTTCGAAAAAGCAAGAAGAACTCCAAACGGGGATTCAGACGGGCAGGCAGTGTCTAATTTGCAATTTTGGCATCAACGAGCCCGATTCCTTCCCAGGGACCCGCGAGGTCCTCGCCTTAGGCACTGGGGCTTAACGAGAATTTTGATCTAACTGGATTGCGCGTTCTGCCACTCTCAGTCCCGCACACTACTTCCACCACGCCTTAATTATAATCTCAACTGTAATCTCTTCTTGCTCCTCCATCCATGAGTGCAGGTGTAACTGTAATCTTCTTGCCCCAGGTTTCTCATCGCACGGAGATGCGCAACTCTCCCTCCCTCCGTCTCATTGGCCACAGTGGTGCATGACTGGATCGATGTGATGAGAGTGGCTACGTCCCCCACGCCACGGCCCAGACACGCTGACCGCAGACACTTCCTTCTCCCTTCTTTTCCCCTGCCTCAGCATAACCCCCAACTACCTCACGCTGATGACTAATAGCTATAAATTTTGCAAGCGCAATGAAATCCCTCTCTAATCAAATTTGGAAGGTTAGCACTCTCGAGAGGATCGGCTAACGGGTATGGTCGGCGAAAAGGTGAGTGCAGAGTTGGGCGATCTGACGGGCTGGCGGTGAGTGTGTGGGATTGCAGTGTGGCAACTGCGGACTGTGGAACACGGGCGAATTAGGCGTGCGTACTTGCGCTAAGCAGGGTGACAACTCGAAGTCGTTGATAGGTGCAGGGCGACGGACTGCCGGCACGAGAATGACCAGAGGGTTGGAGAGAGAGAGCGCAAGAGCGTGAGATTGTTGGGGTGTTTAATACTTCTTCTCCTGTACCTCTCAAAAATTTTGCATTCAGAACTGTGAGTTTTCATCGTTCCCATTTTTGTAATGACAGATGGATATCTGGCTGTGTAAATTATGCTCTCCCTTCGGAACATCTTTCACGTTTCTTTCCTTGTTGATATGATGTTGGATATGGTGATTAAAATCTCAGCCGCTTTTGTTCCCTAGTTTTGATCGTTTGTACCTGTGTGTGCCCGCTTCCGGATTATTGTTGGAAAACATGGATGCCTGTCTGGGATTGGATTACCAAAAAAAAAAGGGAAGGCATGTTGGTCTTTTTGCTTAATCATGTCTGAGGGGAGGAATTCATGCGAACTCGCGCATGCACTACAACTCGCCGACAACGTGGCCCATGGTGCATACACGCGCTTGCATATTCCTTTCTTTTGACGGTTCTGAAATTACCCAGTCTATGTGAGTAAGAAGGCTCGTCACAAGTATGAGCCCGTAGCGGTGAAATCTGGTGACCGCAATTGCATACACCGGAAACTCAGAACACTCCTTCCCCTGCCCGTTCCACTTGCATCCTCGTCCTTAGAACATTGGCACCGGAGATTCCAGTTCCGGCCTGGGACTCCGTCCCTTTTTCCTAAAATCGTTGGCACACCCCCTTTCTTGCTACTTCCAGACCCACTACCCACTCCGATCAGGAAGCCGCGTTGGGCGTGAGGTTGGGGCGTCAGACCGCGCTCCGCGGTCTATCTATCATGGTTGTATAGCACACGGGAACCATCATAATCGAGCCTTAGACCTCTTCCTTGCAGCATCAAGCTCCAACCCACTGAGCTAGCATGTGTCCTGATCCATCTACTCGCTGTGCTAGGTCAGGTGACAAATACTTAGGGTGCCAGCCTAGCACCAACCGAACATGCAAAGGGGAGGTTGAGGAGCGACAGAAACGACCCTGCAACCTCCCTGTTGCAACGCCAGACCTCTAACTCACTGAGCTACTGCTCTAGTTCTCTATTTTTCCCCTGCTTGAGGATTCACATATAGATGATGATGAACAAGTCCTGTGCGCTACAGGAGCCCCTGCTCACCTTTTTGTACACCTTCCCCTGTCCGTGGGCCGCACTGTAGCCATGATTGGCCCTGACCTGTATCCGTAAAGCGGCTATTATTGTACGCTTGGGAATGTGCATCGCGCCTCTCTCCTACCTCCTTCCATCCATTTTCTTACGGCTTCCCTCCCTCCTTCCTAGCCTCCTGTGCGCCTCTTTCCCAGCATTTTCCTCTCTCTTTCCTAGGTTTTTGTCCCCTTCTTCCTCCCTCCTTCCTGCCGCCTTCCTCTCCCTTTACTTCCTCTCCAGGCTGCTACATACCTGTCCTTTGTTCCAGGGGTGAGTTCCGACTTGTGTTGGATCTTTCATTTCTGGCCATGGATTACATAGATAGATGGTCCACAGTGAAGAACCGCATTCAAGTGGAATCCAGTGCTACAACCTGATTCCCAGTGCCAGGTCCTGCTGTGTCATCAGGTTTGTCTCATTTGTTTGTCCTTTTTGTTCGTCTGTTTTGTTTGGTTTTGTTTTTCGAAAACCAACCGCACTTTGGGAGGTCCAATACTGAAGTTGGATGTGTTAGTCCTCTGTAGCTCTTCTCAATTTCGTCTTATTGCACTTGTCCTAACTTTGTCTGTTTGTTTTCCTTTTCCTTTTTTTTCTTTAAAAAAAAAAAAAAAAAAGGGTGACGGCCTTGAGATATTAACTGACCGGTCCCAGGTAATTCAGAAATAGTTCGTTTTTACAACTTTTACTCATCAACTTCCATCATCTGGATTCGAACATGGGTCTGTATTTTTAACAATTCATGGGTGTACCCACTGAGCTAGGCTCTTGGGTACTCCTTTTCTTTTTTCCCTTTCTTGTGGAAGATTGCGTGAGGGAGGCCAATGCACAGCAATTGATACCTGTCATAAATAGACTTGAGCCTCTGAGAAAAACAGCAGACCTACTACCCTACCACAGGGCTACCTGGGGCACAATCCCATCAGCAGGGGCTAAGTCCTTCTATTTAGACTGGGTTTCAAGTACGCACCAGTTCCCGCCATCCGAG